AATACTGAACAAAAACACAGAGAGAAAAAACGGTGAATGGTCTACCGTAATTCTTAGAGAAGAACAATATAACTAACAAAAATGGATTGAATAAAAAACATGAGGAATGCGCTGTGCTAGCGCCGAAAGAAGAGCGCAATTTGAGTGATCAAAAAAAAAAGTCCTGCACTACAAAAATTCAAAAAAAAGGCATGTCTACATAACACTTTATTTAGTTTAAAACGTGAGTGGAGAAAGGGAGGTACTCTCAGTAGAAGGACAAACTCCCCTCCACCGGGGTCCACTCAGCACAGGGCCGCAACGCCCCATAGCCCCAATAGCAGCAGAAGTAGCCGAGACACATCCGCACGCGTGGATCTGTCACCTGCAAGTTGCTCGGATGCATCGGAGCCGTCACCTGCACGTTTCTCAGATGCACCGGAGCCGTCACCTGCACGTTTCTCAGATGCACCGGAGCCGTCACCTGCACGTTTCTCGGATGCATCGGAGCCGTCACCTGCGCGTTTCTCGGATGAATCAGAGCCGTCACCTGCGCGTTTCTCGGATGAATCAGAGCTGTCAACTGCCATGAGTTCATCTTCACTTAGTGGGCGGTTGTACAAAAAGACATTCTTTACTGTCACACTGCTTTTTTCGCCGCCACCAAAGTAAAAATGAGAGATATCATGCGTCCGTGCCTCAAGGGTTGGTAGTTTGTTAGTATTCCCCACGAGCACGCCGTCCACGTACACAGAGCCCTCGTTGTCCTGCAGCATGAGCGCCACTTTGTACTCCTTCCCCGGCTCCCAAGTGCTGTGGTGTGTTGTTGTCGTGATGCCATCGAAGACTGTACCCCACCGTTTCTCCGTCGTGTACGACAGCCCCACAAACGTCGTGTTTTCCTTGTCATTCAGACCCGCGCCCAGCAGAGGAACGCTCTCGTTCGGAACCTCATCGATCGTCACCGTCGCCACAAGCGTGAACGCGTAATCCACAAAGCCGTGCACATTGTGATGCGTCCACATGTTCACAGGCCACATGGCGTATGATTCGGACCCCGTGAACTTAAAGCCATTTTCGACCTTCTCTGCATCCGTCACAATTGAATTCACGCAGCGGTACGCGTCGTTCCAGGTTCCATCACCCGATGCATCCGACAAGAACCCAACCAGACCGGCTGTGGGCACCGACGAGTTGGAGAGGAAGGAGTCCAGTTCTGCCCAATTCTCCAAGATGGACGTGGTCGTCTTCAGCGCATCCGTTAGGGGGGAAAGAAAGAATCGGGTTTCCATGAAATCGCTCCTCTCTTCTAAAAAGTGCAACGCATTGTTAGAGTGCAGCAGGGTGTTGCCAGACGTCCACGTCCCTGCAATGTCCACGGAAATGGGCCCGACGTGAAACGTGCGGTTGTTGTCAGCAACCCAAAGGTAGAGCGCGGTGGCTTGCACCGTGTCTCCAGGGGGAATCCCTTTCTGAGTGTACAGCATAACCTTCTTTCCAGCAATGGTCGCAGTGGTGAGGGATGCTACACTCAAAGTCATTTGCAACGTCTTTGGTAAAAACCTGGGATGCACGCGTGTGAGTGTCCTGACAGCCTCCGTCCACGTTGCCCCCATGTCCCTCGACTCGAACACCTTGGAGAGAGAATTGTATTTGGCAGCCATGAGAAGCTGCCCCTGCTCCCACTCGATGATGAGGGGGTCAGTGCACCCCGCGGGGAGCATCCCCTGTGAAAGCACCCAATTTTTGCCGTCGTCCTTCGAATAAATGATCGTGGAGACAGTTTCGTTTTCTTCTGTCCTCATCGCCGTCACAGGAAACACGAACGTGCCATCCTCCATCACAACGCCTGAGCCGCCGCCACCAATAAATTCCTTTAGGCCACGTTGTTTAGCAGATTGTTCGATCTGTGGCAAAAGCGAGGTGGGTTTGCCCCATTGGATGACTTTATCTTGCGTGGACTCACCCACGAGCAAAACAAGATCCTTTGATATTTTAAACGGCTCCTCGCAGGAAGGATCATACTTCTGATGATAGTCCCCCACAAGTAGAAAGACATTGTTGCCCTTTGCAATTGTTGTGGGTTTTGACGTGCGTATCATGTAGGACATATTTTTATGTTCCGTGGCCGTGTTAATGATGCTGTGCGCCTTCCATTTGTGTAGTCGGACCTCATCGACAAAAGAGGACCAGTTCTCCGCAGGGTCAATGTACCCACCCACAATATCGGCGCAAATGATCGAAGGATCTTCATCGCAAAAATCACAGACGACCTCACTACCGGCAAGCACAACCAACACTCCACCAGCACTGGTGAGGGAAGGGTAGGCAAAAGATTTCCTCGTTTGACTTTGACCTTGTGTTTCCACAATCGTTTGACGCGGCACCAAAAGAGAGACAGGCTCTGGTGTTTGCATTTCATTTGGTTTACTTTCCTCAGCGTGGGCAGCCGTACTGGCAAAGCACATCAGCACAAACAGCAGCAGCATCACTGAATAAGGAAACAGATGGCGGTACATCATGGGCATGGGTCGCTGCTCACTCATTCTCTCTCCCTCCCCTCCTTGTGGTGGATCCGCTCAGGCCGCGACGATTGTGTTTCTGTGTGTGTGTGTGTGAGTTGCTGGTGGTGACTGCAGAGCGTTTCAATGTGCACAACACCAAGTAGCGTTTGGTCTCTTTCCTTCCGAACGTGTTGGGGAAAAAAGAGAGGTGAAACCAAAAAAAAAGAAAAAAAACGATGGGCACCGCCCTCGCCCACAGTTGGGCATCACGCAAAGAACAGTGACAATCCATAACGAAGGCCGCACCGACGAACGCGTGGGCCGCACGATCACACACTCACCCCGCCCACAAGACACGCCAGACGCAAAGAAGACGGCGGTAGCAGCGACTGTTGTGCGCAGCCGGAAGAAACACCCACCCGCACCCGCACGGAGAGTCCGCAGTGTGGGACGCCCCGCAGAAATCAAAAATAATACAAAACAAATTCATAAGCACCTCGCTTACCGTCTCCCCCCGCCCAGCCCCTTCAAACCCCGCCAGCGGCAACACGCAGTGCGCATGCCGGCGGGACCTCCTCCCATCGCAGCCCTTACAAAAACCCCAACGCCCCCCCACTTCCCTCAGCGCACTGCAGCAGGAGTGGGGCGCAGCGTAACAAACAAAAATAATAATAAAAATAAAAAAAGACGCATGCAGCACCATTTCTTCCACGCCTCGTTCCGCTTGCAAGCGAGGGCGACGCCAGCGCAGCCGTGGTCTCAGACTGCCCGATCAGTGCATGCAACTCGAACAAAACGGAACAGGCGCATGCGCCCAGGACGGCAAACCAACAAAAGAGAGGCGACAACGGTGTTTGCTCGAGGCTCTCAGCGGTGCATGCGGCACCCCCCATTGGAGCCGCACGCCAACCAAAAACGATGGCACCCAAAAA